ATTGTTGGATTGAGTGCTTGAAGGAATTGTATGCAGATAATACTGACTTTAAGGAGATTTGGAGCAAGTGTGTGAATCATGAAGCAGTATCAGATTTCTATATTAGTGATGGATATTTGTTCAAGGGCAACCATCTTTGCATTCCTGTTTTATCTTTACATGAAAATGATTCGATATTTGCATGGTGGAGGTCTAAGTAGACACTTGGGGCATGACAAGACAATAGCCAGATGGGAAGCTAGATACTATTGGCCACAATTGAAGTGAGATATTGGAGTTATAGTTAGAAAATGTTATACTGTTAGGTGTCAAAGTGTCAAGTGCAGAATATCGGGTTACACATGTCACTTCCTTTCCCTTAGGCATATGGCAAGATCTTACTATGGATTTTGTTCTGGATTACCTCGTACTCAACGGGGCATAGGTTCTATTTTTATGGTGGTTGACAAGTTCTCCAAGATGGCTCACTTTATAGCTTGTCAGAAAACCTCAGATACATCGAATATTGCCAAAATGTTTTTCAAAGAGATTGTTCGATTGCATAGAGTTCCCAAGTTTATCACATCAGATTGTGCTACCAAGTTTGTGGGATATTGTTGGATTAGATTGTGGAAGTTGTTTGGGAAGAGTTTGAATCAAAGTAGCACCGTCCATCCCTAGATTGATGGACACACTAAAGTCACTAACAAACCGTGAAATCTTGCACTACCTCAGGTTGAGTATGCATACAACATCGCAATTCATAGTGCTACAGGAAAATCCCCATTTGCTATTGTTTATAAAGAGGTTGCTTACCATGTTGTGGATTTAGTGAAGTTACCTAGGGACAATGGTAAGAGTGTGGCTGCAAAATATCTTGCAGAAGAGGTACTAGCAGTCCATGATGCAGTAGCAGAAAGTTGAGAAGACTAATGCAAAGTATAAGGCAGTAACAGATTCACATCGACGGGACAAAAAATTTCAGAAAGTTCATTCAGTGATGGTATTTCTGATTGGTGCTTACAACACACTAAAACCAAGAAAATATGGGCTTTTCAAAGTGCTTAAGTGGATTAATAACAATGCCTACATTATTGATTTATCAGCTTCTATGGGTATTTCTCAGACGTTCAATGTGCAGATTTGTATGAGTTCCATAAAGATGATGAGCTTTTATATCCAGATTATAACTTGGGGTTGAGTTCTTCAGAGGTGGAAAGGACTCATGTTGGACATTATTGAAGAATTGGATCAAAATGGGGAACAAGTAATAGTGCAGAGAGAACATCCGAATTTCAGTTTGGTCTCATAATAGCATTCCGAAAAAAGGATGATGATACGAGTAATACTCATGGCTACGCCATGACATACGATGGATTCTAGCCAACCAAGTTCGTTTAAGATTCAAAAACTAAATTTTAAAGTTTTAGCGCTATTTTTGTCATTTAGTTTATTTCGAATTCTTTTTTAATTTTAGTTTGTTTGAGTTAGGTTTTCATTAATTTTAGTTCTATTAAACTAGGTTTTTATACAAATCCTTATAAATAAACGGTTATCTCATTATTTTTTTATTATTTTTCATTAATAAAATTCGTGAGTTTAATTTTTCATAATTTGATGGATTCCAAAATGCGTGTTCTTAAGGTTTTCGCTTGAATTCCTTGTTTCGCGCTGCATCAGATCTTCTAGCATTTTTGAACTATTTTTTGGGATCTTAGGGAGAAGTCATAGTGTTCTTCGGGTGATGAAGATTTGCAACTTTAAATTCAACGTGTATGGCTATAAAACTCCCACGATGATCAAAAAAGATGTAGAAAGAATGAAAAGGCAGATGAGTGGAAGACTACCGATTTTAATAATGCTAGTTGGATTTCAAAAGCCCTAAAAGCTATTTTCTCATATGTAGACTCTAATCAATTTCGCTTGATTTCTAGATGTAAGGTTGCTAAAGAGGCGTGTGACATATTGCAAGTTGCTCATGAGGAAACTTCCATTGTGAAATCTTCTAAATTTCAAATGCTTACACCTGAATTTGAGCAACTAATAATGATTTAGATTTCAACACCAAGGTACGGGATATCACCAACTCGGTCTATACCTTGGAAAATAAGTATTCAGAAAGTAAAATAGTGAAAAAGATTTATTAGATCACTGCCTGACAAATTCCATTCCAAGTAAATTTCCATCGAGGAGAGTAAAGATATAGAGAGCATGAATGTGGAAGATTTGGTGGGGTCTTTAATGACCTATGAGTTGTATCTCCATAGGAGAAAAAAGGAAAAAGGATCGAGAATCGCATTTAAAGCCAATGACGTTGAGATAGAAGAGAAGGAAAGTGAAAGTGTTAATGATGAGCATATTGCCATGTTCACTAAATAATTTAAGGAATTCCTAAAAAACAATCAGAAAGGAAGAAGCTCAAGACCTCAACCACCATAAAAGAAGTTCTTTAACAACTCAAGGCAAAATCATATCTCATTGGTGGAAAGAACTTAGAATCGTTCTCAATGTTATGAATGCGAGGATTTGGTCACATAGTTGCTGAATGTGCAAATGCATTAAAAAAGTCTTGGGACAAAAAGGCAATGAACATAACATGGAGCGAAAATGAGGACATAGTCAAACTTTGACAAGGAGGACAGAGCAGAGACAACCAGGTAACCTCATTCACTATTAACCTTCAATCTGGTGCTGATTCAATACAATTGTTGCCCACAGGTATAAACTCACTAAATAGAGACACAGCTGGACCAAGAAATGTATGTTCCGAATACATTGCACTGAAAATGAACCTAGAGTTTGAACAAGGAAAGAATGTCACACTTGTTGCAATGATAGAGTTTATTGAAGAAGAAAAATATGTGATTGTAACCGAAAAGGAAGCATTGTCCAAAGCTTTGAAGGAAAAAGAAAATTGAGTGTTGGAACTCCACGCTGAATTGGACTACACCAAAGAGAGAGTCACACAATTGACCATTGGGTCCGCATACCTAATTGAAGCTCTTAGCTGGAAAAACCTCAAATATCAAAGAAGGATTAAGCTATGAAGGGAAAGGAAAAGAGAAAGAGTTCACTTAGTTGAAATTTGTCAAAGAATTCGAATATGATAAATCATCAACTCGGACATTTAAAACTTCTGCCAACATTCCAGATAGAACCCTTGCCAACAGGTCAAAATCAGTGTGTGCCACATACTGGCTGGTTCGAATACCTCCAAACAACTGGTTCAGACTATATCATTAGGTAATGAGGTAAAATCTCACTCTCACATTCAGACAGGTAAGTCACAATACAATTTCAAATGTAGTTTTTATGGTTAGCATGGACATAATTCATTTTACCGTTTATAACATAGAAAATGATATCACACAAAAAGAGTTAACATGCTAACTGGCACTTCAAAGCAAAATCCTAATATTAAAATAAGGCAAGTTTGTGTAAGAAAAAATGATTTTAGTTGCTATGTTGTTAATGTAGCTTATAAATTCACTGTGCCTAACTTTTGGTATTTTGTTAGTGACTGATCTAGACACATGAGCTAACAAATTTTTAAAGTGATGCGGGTGAACATGTTACCTTTGGAGATGATGCCCAAAATAAAATTGAGGGTGTTGGTATCATTATGATAAATGGTTTACATGTCTTAAATGATGCATTGTTTGTGGTTGACTTAAAAGCTAATCTGAAAAGTGTAGGTCAACTATATAATGATGAACTCATAGTCATGTTTACTAAAAGCCCATGTAAGATACTGAAAAATTATGGTAGTTGTATCCTACGTAGTGCTAGGTCTAATGATAAATTCTATATGCTTGAATAAGATGTTTCAAAAACTGACTTTATAGACATATGGTACAAATGATTTGTGACACTTGAACTATCACTACAACAAAAATAGTCAT